TGTGGACACCGCCAGTGACGGCACTTTCAGCAGCGTATCTTCCAGTGGGAGGTTACTCACTGCATCCGCATTTGCTACTTAGCTGGCCAGATGGTTTTCCAATTTAAGATTATATGCACTTAGCATTAGAGCCCACCACTAAATTCAGCCTGAAGCCATCGGTGGCACGGCCCTGTCCTCTTTGAATAGCCCTAGCAGGGGTTTGTGGTCCATTACTATTAGACATTTACATCTGTAAAGGTATTGGTAAAATTTTCTCACACCAAAGGTGAGCACCAAACTGTCATTCTCTATCTGGGCATATCTTCACTTGGCATCAGCCAAAGTTCGGGACGCATGCACTATCGGGTATTTCTCTCTGCTGGGCCACTGAAGAGCCAACAGTACCGGAATACTGTACAGGGAGGCATCGCATGTCAGCACCACATCTTGCCTGAAATCATGGTGTGCCAACAGCTTAGACAATTATAGCTGATTTTTCACTTCCTATAAGACTACGTCTTCACTATGAGACCATTTCATAAACTGACCCTTTTTCAGTAGCAAATGTAAGGGTGCCAGGATGGAGGCCAGGTAACGTATGAATATTCTGTAATTATTCACCAACCCAAGGAAATACCTACGCTCTGGTACAGTGTGAGAGCCAGCTACCTCTGATCATGCTCACTTTATCTTCCAGTGGGTGTAACTCAGTCTTATCGACTCTGTCGTCCAAGTAGGTTACTTCGGGTGGCTGGAACATGCATTTTTCTGTCCTAAGGCATACACCCACCTGGGAGAAATGTGAAAGTACGATGTCCAAGTTCACTAAATGCTTTTCCTGGTCATTAGCACATTAGCCAGATAAATGGCGAACTGGGGTAGAACTTGTAGAAAGTTTTCCATCGTCCACTGGAAAACAGCACAGGCTGATGATGCCCCAAAAGGCAGTTTGGTGTATTGATGCAAACTCTTATGGGTATTAATTGTAGCATAGGTCTGGGAATCCCCATCTAATTGCAATTGCAGGGACCCATGGCTCATGTCCGGCTTCGTGAAGGACAGCCACACCCCCACACCAACCACCCCCACCCCATCGCCCCTATGGGTTTTGTGTATAAGCCCTCTATGCGAGGGATTGGGTATTTATCCATCTGTGAAAACTGGTTTATTGTTTCTTTGAAATCCCCACAAAAGGCTAAACAACCCATTGGGCTTCATAATTGGTAAAACCAATGCTGCCCATAACGCAAACTATACTGGTTTGGCAATTCCTTTCCTTTCCAGCCTCCTGATTTCTGCCTCTACTTTTGCCCATAAGGCAAATGGCACTGTGTGGGCCTTGCGGAATCATGAAATTGCATCTTGGTCAACATGTCAGGTGGCCTGGCCCCTTGGACAGTCCCCAGGCTTCCCTGAAAAACATCCAGGTATTTAATTAGGACTTCACTCAGGCAACCATTTTCTAATCGAAAAATGTACAGCCAATCAAGTTGAATCTTTCTCAACCAATTTTGCCCCGTCAAACTTGGGCCTATGACCTTTAGCACAATCAGTGGTAACTGAACAAGCTGTTTCTCATAGGGACCTACACCAAAGTGGTACCCTTAAACCATAAGGGTTCCTCCATATTGGGTCTCAGCCTGACTGAGGTCTTATGCAACCTTAAGGTTTGGAGTCCAGAGCGAATTTTGGTAAAGACCAGTTCTGCCATCAGTGATACAGCCACACCAGTATCAACCTCCATTGGATCCGTGTGACCATTTAACCAGGCATTTATTTGGAGTGGTTGTGATTTGGATATTACTAAGCAATTTACTTGTTCTAAACGAGCTGTAGGTGGATTTTCCAGGGTGTGCACACTCCTGGATACTGGCCTTTGAGTTCTCTTACACCATTCATGCTTAGTGGGACACTTTTGTTGTCTTGAGACCACATTCTGGCAGTAACTTCAATGGTTTGCCAGCCCAGATCTTCGAGAAAAGTCTAACCATTTGGCTGAGGCTTGGCTTTGTTTTGGGGTTTTGCTGTGGGCTTACCGAGGCTCCTTCCAATTAGGATATGTCCTAAGTGAGGCTCTGCAATTGCCTTCACTCAAGGCAGTATTCCCCAAGTTGAGTGGGCCTGGCAAGGATGTCTATGTCTATCGGCATACCCTGTAACTCGTTAGCTCTACTTTCCACATTTTCTAACAACAAAGCTAAAGGTAGTGCCTGTCTGAAGTCTCATTGGTCTTCAGCTTGTAGGCGCTTTTGCGTGGTCATGTCATTAATCCTACATAACAACTGTCTCTCAGGATCTCACTTAGGTTTAAATCAAAATCACACCTCTGCCAGTCATCTTAACCTCAAAAAAAATCCCAATATGAATTCCCTGGTACTCAAACTGTTGAATAGCAACTCAGAATTAGTTGTAGCTTGGGTTGTAATATTCCTCAGAAAATTTTTAAACTCTTGAAAGATTTTAGTATTTGGTGCTTCTGGGAAAGTTAGGCTCCGAATAACCAATATTGCCATGGGTCCACAATCTGTCAGGAGAATCACTCGTTGTTCATCTGTCCCAATGTTATTTGCCCGGAAACAATAACTATATTCTGGGATAAGTCTTTGGCCACTGAATCGAACAAGTCAAGCTTCCCAAATAGCAGCATGATGCCAGAAATCCTTACCCCAATTCAAAGTCAATTGTTGTGAGCGAATCTCTTCAGGGGCGTGTTTCTCAGTCATCACTAAAATAACTAAATGAAGGCTGACGTCCCATCACCAAGTCACCTTTATTTACATGTGTTTAGTACATGACACTGAACCAGCCAGCACAGAGCTGGCTCTTAGAATGAGCAGAATCCCTGACACTCCTGTTTATATCTGTAAGCCAGGTCTTCCCTGACAGGACCAGGTTAATAGCCCCAAACAGGAAACTCATATTCTATGAGGTCCAGCTGGCTGACATTGTTCCAATCACTACAAGTGGGGGTTACAAAAAGAGACTAAGGGCAATCTCCATGGATAAGCAGTGTCAGATTTGGAAGCAGAAGTTTCAACACCAGCAGAGAAAACAAAAAAGAAAAATTCAGGTCAAAAAGCAGAACCCAACAAGAAAGCGGAATTACCTGTGGCTAACAAAAGGTGGTCAATGAGCATTGTCCAATTCAAAACTTAAGGTAGACAAAGCAGCAAAGTGTGGAGGTAGGTTAGAGAATTGGACATCTTTCAGGAAGACGCAGGTGATGCTTAAAAACAGAAAAAAAATGATCACAAAAGTAAGATGTTAAGAAACATAAAAATATACAGAAAGAGCTTCTATGGATATATAAAATGAAAGAGAGCAGCAACGTGTAGGAAATGCTCCAGTGACTACAGAATTTTGGATGATTATCAATGCATCTAATGTTTCCAGGGTAATTTCATTCACTACTCTGGAATATGGATGATCAGGTTCCAGTGGTTTGTCAATCATTAACACTGTTACTTACCCCAGCACTTATTCCTTCCTAATACTGATCCCATTCACATTGGCCCTCTCACTCAACCCTAATATTTGTTCTCTAACATTTATGGGCACTTACTGGAGCCCTCTTTTGTGAAGACAGCAGCAAAATATTTGTTCAAATCTTCTGCCATTTCTTTGTTCCCCAGTATCACTGCACTTGCCCTACATCTACCTTTATAAACTCCTTGTTCTCACATATTTATAGACATTTTTACAGCTAATTTCTATGCTCACCGCAATTTTCCTCTCCAACACTTTTTTCCACTCGAGATTTATTTTCCTCTTTTTGCTGATTTCTAAAATGTTCCCAATCCTTAGGTTTGCTGTTTTCTTTGCTCTGGCAATTTTACATCTCTGCTATTTGGTTCTCCCTAATCTCTTTTTTAACCCATTGTTGAGCCACTTTTCCCCCTTTTCCATTTGTCAGACAGAAATGAATAATTGTTGTAATTTATGGGTACTATCTTTAAGCATGAATCACATCCTATCCACCATCAACCACTTTAGTATGACTCCACAATCCATCCTTGTCAATTTGTGCCTCTCGTGCTCATAGTTCCCTTCATTTACATCCAGGATCCTAGCTTCTAGTTCAACTACTTGGCTCTTCACCTCAATGAAGAATGATGTCATATTATGGTCACTCTTCCCCAAGTGACCTGCACATAACAAGATTGCTAATGCATTGTTTCTCATTGCAATATATCCCATATAGAATATCCTGTTGTCGCGTTGGTTCTTCAAGGTATTGGTCTGGGCAACTAGGGACGGACAATAAATGCTGGTCATCCAGCAAAGCCTGCATTTCACAAATGAATACAAAACAAACAGACACATATACACACATACGCATGGAAATACTCCACCACTTTGTCTTATCCAAGCTATATGTAAATTAAACCCATGATTACATTGCACCATTCTTGTTTAAATCTCTGATGCCTTGCTTGATGCCTGAAGACACTGATAGGCAAGCTATTGGAATGTTAGACATTACTGCAAAAAGATTTGGGTACAGCAGTAGTGAAGTCTGGTTTCAAATGTATCAGACTTTAGTTATGTCGCACCTGCAGTCCTGTGTGCAGTTTGGGTCTCCTTATCTCAGGAGATGTTATTTCCATGTAGATTCACGAGACTTGTCCTTGGGATGGTGGCAACATCCTATGAAGAGATAGTGGACAAACCGGGCTGGTATTATCTAGGTATTCAATGAATGAGCAATGATATTATTGAAAATATTGTCGCACAATGCTTAAAAGGGAAGAGACATGGTAGATACAGGTTTAACAGTCGCTAGTTGGGGGAGACTAGAACCAGGCAAGGTTTTAAAATAATTGGGACTTAGGTCCAAGATGAGGATTAATGTTATTTTGCTCAGCTTTAGAATTCAGTACCTACAGGGAACTACAGTCACCCCATCTCGGTGTATGTTTAAGGGAGAGACTGATAAATTTCTGATTGCCAATTGTTAATTGATATATGGGGATGGAGTGCGTAAAACACATTGAAGTGTTTGATTCGGCATGATCATATTCAATGGGACGGCAGGTTCAAGTGGCTGAAAGGCCCACTCCAGTTCCCAAGTCCCTCTGTTGCAAAATGAACACTTCCTGTTTCTTTTCTCTCTCAGGAATATACTCAAGTACTTCACTTCCCTAATTATGAATCTCTGCTCAGAAGTGTGCAATTTATAGACTTGCTGGCACAAAGACTTGTTCTCTGACTTAACGCAATGGCCACGAAAATACAGTGGAAGAGATTAGACCCCAGCTGTGCTTTGTCTCAGGGAGGACTGAAGATCAGCAACAGCTGAGTCAAGCCACATCAAAGCAAGTATGTCAGTAAAGTTTTCTGACAAATACGTGCATATAAATGATAGCTTCAACACTGGCTCAGACAAGCAGCGTTAGCAACTTTTTCATTTCTTGTAAACTCCGAGTGTGTTGGGTACTAAATAAAAACCATAAGAACTGAGGATGCTATAAATCAGAAATAAAACCAGAAATTGCAGGAAAACTCAGCAGCATCGGTGAAGAGAAATCAGAGTTAATGTTTGGGGTCCTGTGACCCTTTCTGAAAACTGAGGGTAGCGAGGAAATTCTTGTTTTTTTATGTAGAAGGTCGGGTGGGAGTAAGGAGGAAACAATAGGTGGGGACAGAATGCAAAGAGAGAGAAGCACAGTTAGACAGACAAAGGAGTGGACAATGATCTGGTTCGGAGGGTGAATAGTTGTTAACCGAGACTGTTAGTGGCATTGGAACTTAAACCCTCTGTTGAGAAAAAATGCACTAATTAGTTAACAACAGAATACAACAACTCTACTGAAATACTAGTCAAGTAATGTACTGAAATGCTACACCATCTGACGTTGCTACCGATGAATTTGTGTCTGAATTCAGATATATAATAAATCATTTGATGGGTTACTTACTGTTTTGATGGAACGGGAGAATCCAGCCTGTGGTTTCGCATAACAACCCGATTCAAGAAACAATCCTGAAGCTAACAGCCTCTTCAAGTGCCTCGCTCTACAGAGTATGTGAAACACACTGACAAACTCTGCGAAAACCTTCTTTATTTTGACACTTCCCTTTTCTGATTTTTTAAAGAACCTTTGAAAGACTCACACTGCAGCTCATGGAATTGTTTTTTCCCACAAGATGCATGAAAGCAGTGTTGCAATTGCCTGCTTCAATGGAAATAAGAGAATACATGCAGTGAAATAAAACCATATTGGTATATCAGGTAGGTGGGATTCAGTGTTTCTTGGAATTCACA